ATAAAGTGTTACCAAAATGTTTAATTAACCTGAATGAATAATTTTTTTTAAATCGGTTGGAATGAATGAATCTTCATACTTATACGTGACAACAGCTCTCCTTGTCAAAGGTTTAATAGACACAGGCGAAGTGTTGTCATTTGGGAATAAGATTACGCGGGGGTTTGAATCGAGATCACCATCTTTTAATGATTAATCACACAGCTCTAATAATCATATTGAAAGCAATATCGCGATTTCTTTATCATTTCGATTGATCGTAGAGCCCTGTATGACTGTGTGAATTTGATTTTATTAATGATGCTCTGCTCTAACCATATCGAATATATGAGTGGTCTTTGGGGATTTTGTCCAGGCTGATGTCTCCCTCCTGCTTCTTGGGCGTGTCGGAGTCGGGTGTCCGTGGTGAAAGGGTGATGATGAGGGACTCTGTGAATTTGATGGCGTGAGTGCGGACTCCGTCGTTATCGGAATCCAGCAATGCCAGAACATCCTCTTTCATCTGGGTCACCATATCCCAGCATGGCTCCTGCATGTCCGTCAAACTCTTAGTTCGCACTAGCCACTAACAGAACAAATAAAGACAATGTCAGGCACCTAAAAATATCAGCCCAGCTTAACAATAAAAACTGTGTAACGACTTGATACCTGTAAAGCCACTTTATATAGCTGAGTGAGCGTCAGAATGGCCTTTTTCACCACATTCACACTATCATCTCTCATCAGCATGTTCAGGTTGGCAATCAGCCTCAGCAGAAGCTCATTGTCTCTTTTGCTGAATTAACAAAAAGCAACTGGTCATGAAGTATTGGTCAAAGTATTACGTACTGGATGCTTACAAGCGCACCAGCCAACACTCACCTTGCCTCCTCAATGAACCCGATGACAAACTTTCGCACCTCTATTGACTTGTCAGTCTGAAATGCGATGATTTCCTGTTGAGAATGGATAAAAGCAGAAAACATTCATTTAATTTCTGTGTAGGGAACATTTACACAAGCTGGTGAAGATTGTATGGATTATGAAACTTACATCCAGAAAATTATCAAGCAATGAAGGGTCCTTGTTGATAATCAGCTCCTGCACCTAATAATAAAAGGACATAACTACATAAACATGAACACTAAACATTTGATTTTTATATTTATGACAATATGGAAAGGATTTTAAAACCTGTTTGAGGACAATAAGCTTTTCCTCTGTAGAGATGAGGGCCGCCTGGTTTAGCAATTCCACCACCTGATGGAAAAATGTAATCCATGCCAAATGTCACATTTCCAACAAACAAAAAAACAGCAATAACTAGTGCTGTTCCTCAGTAATGAGTAATGATAGCCAGTGTGTTACCTTCTCGCTGGTGGTCATGTCTAAGGCTGTGTCTTCCTCATTGCTGAATAACTGGGAGCTCGTGCCACCGCGTGCTTGTTCTCCCACGCCTGACGCCATTATGAACAAATCTAAAGAAAAGAGAATGACAGGTCTTCATTGAAGGTTCACAGATGGTTGAAGTCAACAAGAAAACAACATGGTCCTTTTTTTTTTATAGAATATTACAGCATTTATTATAAATGATTTATTCGTGCACATTTATTTTTTTACTTTTTTTATATGCCCTCATAATCTTTAATCAACTTGTCAATCACATGAGATCCACCAATAGCAAACAACAAACATCCAGTGAACCAATCAATTCCCCAAGGACAAAATTAAGTCCCGCTCCACATTTTTGCTTGTTCAGGAAGCTGTTTCACAATAGAGAAAAGACTATCGACTTTAATTTCTAAATTAACATGAAGAAAAAGGGTGAGCATAATTTATATTTTGCAAATAGTTTAATTTTATATTACTTGGATCTCATGTAAAGTCATGGTGAACAACAACAGCAGCCATTTAACTGGAGGCTGGAAGATAAATTTAACTCACACTACATTCTTCATTTAGAACAATTATCATACTACATTACAAAACTCACTAATAATCTTTTTCTTCAAACATTAACATGTGTTATGTTTGTTTTCCATATCACATACAGAACATTGAGGAATATGCTCAATAATAATAAAATAAATAATATCCCCTAAAAGAATTCCCTGTTTAAAAAACAAAAACCATCTAAGCAGTGCTTGATCTAGAAATACCTGTCATCTTTTCACAATACAATCCACTTTTCATTTTCTTACATTCTTAGTAAATTAAATAGAACTGATCATCATTTTATCAAACCTCTCTTAAAGCAAGATGCTGCAACCATTTTGTTCTCGACTTGCACTGATCAATTTTGAGATTTTGGGCTATTTTGCTTCCATAACATTACTAGTGACTAGTGTAAAGAAAACTAAACTAAAACCAAAATACACATTCAAGTGTTTATTACATTACACTTTGTCTGTATATTGCAATTTACAATACATATCTTTAAAGCCCGTTTTCCCAAAATTAGTCTTTTTCCCCTCGTGCACTGATTCAGAAATCTCTACTTAAGTACCACCAAACTGTACAGTTTTGTTCTTTATTTATTATTATTTTCAAGGTTTTTATAGAGGAGTTAATATATCTTTCAAATAACATTTCTTTTAACATTTTATTCCTAATATTTTTTATTAAAATAAAATCCTAAAGAATTTATTTTCTGACTGTCGATTTATATAGTGATGAAAAGAGATTTCCCTGTCACTTAATGTTAATACAGCTACTGCTGTAAAACATCTACCATGTTTCCCCCCTCTGTAAAACCTGTTTACCATATACACCTGTGGTGTCTTGACTTAATAAATAGAGCACAAACCAATACAAGCCGAAACAAGAAACCCGTCAGAGAGGTGAGCATGAACTGTCAAAGAAGCAGACATCTGAGGTGTGTCTAATGAACTTTGACCATGTGGTAAACTGAAGATTTATCATGGCATAGATTGCCAACTGAGTTTGCCCTAGTCTACAAAGGTAAATTAAGCCATACGATTATTTAGGCAAGAATACTAGTAATTATGCGAGATGCTCTGTACTTTTACAGTACACAAGTGCACAGCCACTGGGATTAAATGACATTTTTTCTGATATTAGAGCATGATTTAATGAGGTAATGTAATGTAACATTAAACAGTACACTTACAGTATTTTATTGCAAAAAGAGACGATTGCTGGAATTATTAGTAAATTCAAATTGTGTCATTACATGTTTCAGTTGTCTTATGTTTTGAAACTTGCGCTTGTGTGAAAATGAAACATGTTCAAACCGAATGAAAACAATATTAGGTTTTGAATGAATTAACGTTACTCGCTTTTACAAGTGGGACTAGCTGCTAGTAAGTTAGTTTGGAGTTTCAGAAATGTAACGTGAACGTTACCTGAGGTAATACAGCTAAGCGAGGCAAATGGTCGGGGAAACACTGACCATGATGCAGATAAAGGTGCTGAAATAATTTTAGAACTAGTAACGTTACATATTGAAAAAATGAAAATGAGTAAAAAAAATTGCTTGTTGATTTCTCATACAGAATTGGACTAATGGTAGCTAGATGACTTAATCTTATAAAACAGGCTTCCTGGCTGTCATAAAATAGCATCTTTAGTAAATGAGTATGACAGAGAAATCCAACTTACTCAAGAGAAATCCTTTTAAATTCTGTAAACTGTGGGGAAATCAAATTCTGAGTTAAAACCTGTCGGTTAGCACTGACGCTACCAATATTTTAGGCATGGATAGTTAAAAAGCACAAAACGTACTTTACCTTACTCAGAACTTCTTTTGATAACTTCTCACGTTGGAATTACATATTCTTATAATTCACTTAGTTGCAAATTCACCAGTCGTAGCAATTATTATAGAAAAGTATTCATTTGCGGCATGCTAAGAGAAGAATCTACTTCCGGGGTTGAACGTGATTGTGAGGTTCATGGGAAATTGAGTTTTGTTTTCGCATTGAACACACCGGTGACACTGGAAACAGAGTTGTTGTTTTAATCGCATTCAAACCATGTAACGATGACACAAAAACATGCACATGCGTACAAATTCGATAACAACAAAATTAAATACGGTTAAAAATGGTTTAAAAAAATATTATATTTTTATCTAAAAAGAATCATAACATCATTTATTGGCTTGAGGATCCTCAGTACAGTGGGACATCTGCCTTTATGAATGAAACATTGAAGAACTTGTTTTTATATTTAGCCTATTCAAATTATTGAATGAATAAACCACACAATGTCCCAAAAAATAACAGGTAGATCAGTTTTGTTTGTTTCAATTACAAATATGAATGCAAAAATATCTGAACAAAATATAAAAACACATTCTCAGCGGTGTACACATCGTTTCTTCAAACTTGATAACGTTATATACATATGAGTTATCAACATTTATCATTTAAAAAATCACCAGCAACTTTTTATTGAAGCAGAATAGGATTTGTAAATTTCACTTCTACTTCTGAATTAATTACTCAATTACTTACTCAATTAATTATTGCAATTATTTACAAGTGATTGTACTGGACAAACCCATCATCACAATCTACATTACACAAAGTGTCAGTTCACCTAAAAATTCTGTCATCATTTACTCGCCCTTAATTTGTTCCAAACCTGTATACATTTACTTTTTTCTGCTAATCACAAAGGATGATATTTTGAAAAATGTTGATAACCAAATAGTTGTGGGGCACCATTGACTTCCATATTTTTTCCATACTATGGAAGTCAATGGAGCCCCACAACTATTTGGTTATCAACATTCTGCAAAATATCTTCTTTTGTGTTCAGCAGAACAAAGAAACTCATACAGGTTTAGAACTACATGAGGGCGAGTAAATGATGATAGAATTTCTATTTTTGGGTGAAATATCCCTTTAAAGCAGTAGCATTACACCCCAAAATATTAAAAGACTGTCAGGTTCACTGATCAATGACAATATTACTTTTTTTTTGACAAATGTTATAGCAGAAGTTTGAACATAAATTATTACAGTCTGTTGTTCATCTCACATGCATTTGTTGCTTTAGTTGTTTTCTGGTCTCTGTCTTATGTCTTCTATTAGAGCCTTTTCGACTTCACAAAGCGAGTTGAAAAATATCAGTTGTGACGAAAAACCTTGTTTTTCTATGATCTCAAAGATGCTCCTCATTTTACTTTGAGATGTTGGCATTGCCTTGATTTCACTTAATAGTTCGCTTGCAATGATGCCAACAAGGCCATCTATAATAGCTTTAACATTTCCCACCCTTTGGATGAGGGTTTTTCTATTGCTTTTCAGAAAGGAAACACCTGTAGAATAGTCAACAATCATTAATAATATAGTATATTCAAATGATTGTAAGATAGAATAAAGTTAATATTTTGTTCTGTTTTTTTTTAATGTGCTTACGCTCATCGGGTGACAGCTTCAGTCCGCTGTTTTCTGCTGTAAGATAAAAAGTTGGTAATGTCTTCATTTTCAGCACTTTAGAGATTAACTGTAAATATAAATCCCTTGATTTAAACAATGAGTATAATCATTAAACAATTCATGCAGATTTTACATTGACGGTTTAGTTTTGAAACTTCTGCTTGTGTGAAAATGAAACTTTCAAAAACCGAATGAAAACAATATTAGGTTTCGAATTAATGACTTGCTTTTATAAGTGGGACTACTAAAAAATAGCAAATGTAAATAAAACAGTTGTGTTAAATGTATGTTCTTACGCTCATCGGTTGATGTCAGTCCGCTGGTTTCTGCTGTATAGTCTGTAAGATAAAAAGTTGGTAATGTCTTCATTTAAACTCTTTAGAGATTAACTATAAATCCCTTGATTTAAACGATGAGTATAATCATTAAACAATTCATGCAGATTTTACATTGTGCAGTGCTCATATTTTTGCAGTCTAGCATGTAGGCCTATATTGAACACATAAAGAGTATCCAATGGCTTTGATGGACATTACTGTCAGTTATTTACTTCCTAAACCCTTCTACATTTCCAGTAAGAAACATCTTATTTACCTGCCAGTGGTATGTTAAGACTCCATTCAACTTTAAGCTCTCCATTCTTGTGCTTTTTCTTTTTCAGGCATAATCCCACATTCATCACGCCATTTGGTAACTTTATATCGAATGTTGGATAGAAAGGTTTCCACTGCTTAGTGTAACGAAGCTTTGTACGCTTACAAAGGAAAGAGAGGTCAAACGAGTTTAAATGTTAAAAGGCACTGTAACAAGACTCAAAAACCTGTTAATTGTTATACTGATAATTGTATCATTTGATTACATCAATGAAATACAATACATAGACAGTCTTAACTTAAAAAAGCAGGAGCATGTGGTCATTTCTAAGAGATACCTTTTGTAGAGATATTTGCTTAAAGGCTTAAAATTAGACCTAAATAAATTATTTCAAATCATAAGGTCGTGTAACAAATAATCCTTATCCGTCAGTATGTCAAATGTCCTTCATGTTCAAGACGTCAAGAGAATAACATAATGCTTGGTATTTTAATGTGACTTGGTATAACAAGAATATCTATGGCAAGAGCTCTTTTCAGACACTGCATTTCTATTCTGCCTGATTGTTTTCTTTTTTCCTTTGTATACCGCTGTAACAGTATGAAAAAATACAACATTTGTGGTCTGCTGTCCCGATTAAATTTACGATATATCCCATAAATGATTCACTAGAATGAACTCAAATCCTCAGTCTCTTTACAGGTTTGTTTTCACGTGGATGCTTTAAAGGTGCTCTAAGCGATGTCGGGTGACGTCACTTCTTGTTGACGTTCTAATATTGTCAAACAAAACGGAGGCTAGCTAGACCCTCCCTCCTCCTCATCCGCGCACTAACCCCCCAAACAGTTCTTGTCGGTTATTGGCTGGAACAGTTTGTTATGTTTCGTGGACGGTGCGGGTTAGCCCAGTTTGTTTTTGTTGCCGTTTGTGGAGCCTGGGTAGACCGCGTCTTTTTACAGTGTTTTCAGGGGACAGGCAGTTAGGGGATAGTGAGGAGATGTTTGCTGTATGTGACAAAAAAAAATTTGGCCTAAAAAACGTGTGACATCGCTTAGTGCAACTTTAAAATGTAATTGTCTCCCCTTCACACTTCTAATACCTATAAATACAATAAGTAATACAATATTTATTTTCTATCAAAATGATCACTTTTCCCTCAATTTATCACTCAATGTTCCAGTTAATGAACATTTTTGATTAAGGCAATGTATGTTACATAACACAGACATTACTACTATAGTGATATTTAACAGGTCCATAATATTGCTGCTGAAATAATCAAGGGTTTGGGGATATTGAGGGTCTGTTGTAGTTGTAATAATAAATATAAAGCCACATATAAAGATTAAATTTAGGTTTTTATTCACATATAAACATTGATCAGCAAACATAAACAGAAGCTCAACCGAACCTGCTTGACACAAAAGAACAAACCTCTTTCAGAAGCTCAAATGTGCTGCACAACACGAGAGTGAACCTCATTGGTTCTCACACATCAAGTGAACATGCTTGAGCTTCTGTTTATCACAACTGATGTGTTAGTTGAGGAATGTTTATATGTGAATAAAAGCTTAAATTCAATCTGTTGATCATATAAAGTGATCGAGTCACTTATTGAACTAAACCGCTTGATTCATATGAATTAGTTTTACAATCTCTTTATGAACTTTTTAAAGCGTCATGGAGGGACAGAAAGCTCTCAGATTTCATCAAAAATATCTTCATTTGTGTTCCGAAGATGAACGAAAGTCTCACCGGTTTGGAACGACATGAGGGTGAGTAATTAATGACAGAATTTTCATTTTTGGGTGAAATATCCCTTTAAGTGACCATGGTTTTCCTAAGTATTCCCGCGCACATCTGGCTGTATTTAACACAGTAGCATGATGGTTTCTCATGTAATGTCGTCTGAGGGCTTGAAGGTCACACACATTCAACAGAGGTTTCCTGCCTTGCCCTACATGTACTGGTATATCTCTGGATTCCCTGAAATATTTGACAATATGAAAGACCTACATTCTTTGTTAACATGCATTTAGAAATGTGATTTTTGAATTGTTTGACAATTCTCTCATGAAATTTGTCACAAAGTGGTGAGAGCCATGACCCATCTTTGCTTGCAAAACTGAGATGCTCCTACCCAATCATTACTGGACTGTTTTAAAACAGTTTAACTTGGATATTCTAATCTCTTCACTTTTATTTAGCTTCTGACCCATATTTTTTGGAGTGTGTTGTAGCCAAAAATGTGTTTCTATTTACAAAATACAATAAAGTTGGTCAGTGAAAACATTGGAAATATTTTCTTTGAACAAGGTTCAAGAGAATTGACAAAGAATTCACAGATTCTTGATTTTAATGCATTTTATAGAATCTCAAAAATTTTCTGGAAATGGGGTTGTATATAAACTATTTGATACATGATTCCCCCATGATTCCTTAGAAAATGTAAAAGAGAAAAAAAAGCGTTCACCATGGAATCATACTGACCAACGGTTGTATCATTGATACTGGCCTCTCTGAAAGTTCATGTTCCTCAACAGGATCACAGGACATGCTGTATTCACAGTTATATGTGAGCATGCATTCACAAGCTGACTGGATTGGTGTATAATCTTCATTACATTTTCTCACCTGAAAAAAACCCCAGAGAAAATGTAATTTGTTTATAAAGTCAGCCAAAATAAGGTGATAAATGAACACATTAACACATTAAACATACTTCTCTGGGGTCCACATTGCGTGGCTGTAGAAACACATGCAGCTTATGTACTTTCTTTATGTAGAACAGCATCACTTGGCCACATATCTTAAACCAATGATCCGTAAACCAGTTTTGTGTTTTCAAAAGTAAAAACTTTGATGTTCCTGGGATGCTCACTGTAACATGTGTGCTTGTGATATCCTGAGGTTTCATAATATCAACAATCTGATTAGAGTAATGTATAGCGGACATGAAGTGGTAGGCATCCTCTGAAATAATTAAAGAAAACATTTCAAATGTTTTGCTACGTCTTTTACATTTAGTAAATTTTTAAATATGTACGCAAGTTAGTGTTATATTTATATACATTTAAAGTAGATTTTTTTGGACTTTGCATTATTCACAGATTACATTCATTATCTCTCATAATGTTAATAAGATTGCCAACTCACCAATGGAGGTCTCACAGTGAGGTAGACTGAGTTGAGACAGCTCACCCTGAACACATTTGATATCATACAGGGGTCCTGCTTGGTAATGGTTGGCAGGGACTGGACAGTCGCTATCCTGAAGAACAGTGTTGTACAGCACCTCCCCTTCCCCCTTCATGTTAAAACCAAGCTTTGTAAACTCACAGTGGAACCAGCCTGCATGGCTGCTCTGTAACCTATTTCAAAGAAAATATCAAATATGAATGCAAACGGATACACTAGCTTACTTCACCTGTTTGCGGATATAGTACAGATACCTGTATTTACTTTGCCCCTCCTGAAAGATGACCTCAGGAGTGAAGTAATAATCTCTTACATCTAGCTTCTGTGAAAAATAAAAAGTGCTTAAGTGCTTTTTAATTGTTTTGTAAGTTACAAATAAGTCATAAAACCACATTTGCATCCGCAAAGATCATCTTAAAATAAATTAATCTGTGACCTACCCTCAAAATGTCTGAAGGTGACTGAGAATCTCCATCTGAAATTTCTGGTAAGACCAGATGCATTGAATTATTTCTCCAGATCATCCTCCGTATCCTCTCTGAAAGTTCTCTCCTTTCTGCAGTTTCTGGTTCAGAGCCACAGATGTAGGTTTTGTGTCCACATTTTTCATGAAGCCACTCCAATACGCTTCTTTGAGATCCAGTATAATCGTTTATACTACAGTCTCCCTCTATAAATACTACAACAACGTGATTCCAAAATTTCTCTCTAAGAAACTCTAAGGTTTCAAGAATCTCTTTGGTCTGGTCTGTGAATTGGCCATCATGCAGAGAAAATGTAAGCAGAATGGCATGAGGTCCAGGAGTCAGATTTTCCCATCTAAGAATCCTCTTGGCATTGCAAATATCAATATCAACCAAGTGCACAATCTTCTTGTTCATTGAACCTTTGAAACTCTTAAGCCTACCACTGCCAACTTCATCATAACTTCCTCCATCAAAAATCCGGTTTAGGATGGATTTTTCTGTTTCACTGAAACTCATGAGCCAAATCCTCATCTCTGTTAGAAGACAGCTTTCACCTAAGACAAACAAACATTTGTATAAATTACACGTTACTGAGGCTTAATTAACTTGCTTTTTTAATGGGAAAATTAATCTTTTAATTCCACATAGGAGATATGACCAGTGACAAAAAACTACAGATGGTATCATAAAACATGACAATGTTAATGTAAATGCCTAAATTACATTCAATTTGCATACACTGAATGCTTTCCTAAAACACGGACAACTTTTTATTACTTTGAAAATACTTATTTTGCTTTTTGCATGAATGACTACTAATATGTAATCTTAAATCTTATATTTCACAGTCCAATCATGTTTAAAGATCTTGAATAAATTGATTTAGCAATAATAAATAGGCCTATGCAGCATAAATTATTCAGGACAATGGCTTCTTTAAAAGAGAGTCATTTGTTTAGGTTTGACCTGGACAAAATTTTATGGAAGAATAGAAAACAGTTTAATTATTTTGTAAATGCCTGCTGTGTTTTGTATTAAAAAATTACCACAACTAAACTTTATTCATCAAGGAACCAATAAATGATGCATTGTAAATTCCACAAAAGACGGTGTAGTCTATGAAATAATTTCACATATAATTGATCAAAAAATGGATGTAACAGAAGAGTTTCTATATTGTTGTATCACCAGGTCAAAGTCCTGACATAAATAGCAAAAGGTTGTGATGTTCCAGGACATTCAAAAATACTTGTTTAAACCATTTATTTTTTCCAATATACATAACACTATAAGCTTTAAGCGTTTCATCTGAAGATCTCGGTTTAGAAGCCATTCGTTCAGAAAGCCAACAACTAATCAAACACTTTACAGCAGGAAAAATGTGATCATGGTAGCCAAAATTGGGAAAACTCCTACACATTTCTTTAAGAAATGTGAAAATGTTGGTTTGGAATAATTGAAACATTCCTATAACACTTGACAACATTCTTAATCAATAGGTTATGGATCATAAGAATTTTAACATAAATGTTCAAGATGTCAAGTCACCTTTATTTATAAAGCGCTTTTTACAATACAGATTGTTTCAATGCAGCTTTACAGAGACAACAGGAAAGAAATGTTGTAATGATATTGTTAAATATAAAATATAAAAATGTCTAATATAATTTCTAAGTCCATTACAGTTTTTTTCAATTGCTTACACACTAAAATGAAAACTTTCCCACTATTAGCAAAACCTTACACTCAAGGAGCAAAAACACCAGCCTAGATTTGCACAATTGTAAGCACGTTGTCAGCTTCACCCTTTTTGCAAAACATTACACACAGTAATTTGTAAAACTCTACACACATTTTCACACCTTAGACACAGTTAAGGATTGTGAGGTTACTTCCTTGTCATTACAAAGCCCCGGTTTGCCATTGACCACACTAATGAATGAATTGGATATGCACATCCACCAGGTGTGGAAGCACACATGTGCTAATTTGAAAACGCAGCACTCAGGTGTGCTATAAAAGGCAGCAGGTGAGTTCACCTGTCTTCAACAAAAATGGAAGGAGCTAGAAGAAGAAGAAGAAGAGTGAGAATAAGAGGGGGAGCTCAAAGAGGAGATGAAGGAGGTAGAGGAAGAGGAGAAGGAGGTAGAGGAAGAGGTGAAGGAGGTAGAGGAAGAGGAGAAGGAGGTAGAGGAAGAGGAGAAGGAGGTAGAGGAAGAGGTGAAGGAGGTAGAGGAAGAGGTGAAGGAGGTAGAGGAGGAGGAGAAGGAGGTAGAGGAAGAGGTGAAGGAGAAGGAGGTAGAGGAAGAGGAGAAGGAGGTAGAGGAAGAGGTGAAGGAGGTAGAGGAAGAGGAGAAGGAGGTAGAGGAAGAGGAGAAGGAGGAAGAGGAGAAGGAGGTAGAGGAAGAGGAGAAGGAGGTAGAGGAAGAGGAGAAGGAGGTAGAGGAAGAGGTGAAGGAGGTAGAGGAAGAGGAGAAGGAGGTAGAGGAAGAGGTGAAGGAGGTAGAGGAAGAGGAGAAGGAGGTAGAGGAAGAGGTGAAGGAGGTAGAGGAAGAGGTGAAGGAGGTAGAGGAAGAGGAGAAGGAGGTAGAGGAAGAGGTGAAGGAGGTAGAGGAGGAGGAGAAGGAGGTAGAGGAAGAGGTGAAGGAGGTAGAGGAAGAGGTGAAGGAGGTAGAGGAAGAGGTGAAGGAGGTAGAGGAAGAGGAGGAGGTAGAGAGAGAGGAGAAGGAGGTAGAGGAAGAGGAGAAGGAGGTAGAGGAAGAGGAGAAGGAGGTAGAGGAAGAGGAGAAGGAGGTAGAGGAAGAGGTGAAGGAGGTAGAGGAGGAGGAGAAGGAGGTAGAGGAAGAGGAGAAGGAGGTAGAGGAAGAGGAGGTGGAGGAAGAGGTGAAGGAGGTAGAGGAAGAGGTGAAGGAGGTAGAGGAAGAGGAGAAGGAGGTAGAGGAAGAGGAGAAGAAGGAGATAGAGGAAGAGGAGAAGAAGGAGATAGAGGAAGAGGCCTAGGTAGAGGAAGAGATAGAGAAGGACTTGAAGAGTTGATAGAACCTGAACAAAGAAGACGAGGACCAAATTTGACTCAAGAAATCCGTGCAACACTTATTGATCATGTTATCAACCATAGACTGACACTGATGGAAGCTGGACAAAGAGATCAACCAAATCTCTGGTTGATACTGTAACTGAATAGTTACAGTATTCTTTTTGCTTTTACAGTAGTTTTTCTACAGAGTCAAACTGTATGTACTTCATGCAGTAATTTTTATTTGTCTACAGATTTTATTTTTTTCATTGATTTCTTGGTTGGTTTATTACTGTAACTGATTATGGTAAGAAATACTGTAAATAAATACTTGAAATATGAGTCTGCAGAAATCAGTGTTGTGCAGTGCTTGGCAAGTTTATAGTAGGCCTATTTGTGTACATTCTCCCTATATCTCAAACTAATCATGAAGAATGTTGTGGGTTTGTCACTATTTTTTTTTTCATCTAAATGATCCCTTACATAACAATGTCTGGCCAAAAATCTAGCACATGCTATTTCCTAAAAACAAATTTTTTTACAAATGTGTTTTTTATTTATCACAGCCGTGTGAAACTGGCTGCAATAGTGTCTGATCATTGAGGACTGTGTTGGTTAAATGAAAACTAATAGCATTTTCACAAATATGTGTATATTTTTTGACTGAAGTGTGTATGTTTTGACAGAAGTGTGTCATTTTGCAAACAATCTAGGAATTATGAAATTGAGTGTGGTGTTTGGATAATTGTGATTATATTTTGAAAAAAAGAACCCGGTTTTCAAAATTGCGTGTAAACAATTGAAAAAAACTGTAATACATTATTAAATAGTTGAACTCCAAGATTATCTGAAATATTGAAAACTAGATATTTAAAGTCATATGCCTTCATTTTGTGTATATTTATATATATATATATATATATATATATATAGATAGATAGATAGATAGATAGATAGATAGATAGATAGATAGATAGATAGATAGATAGATAGATAGATAGATAGATGAGATGTGTATATTCTAGTACCTTTGGGATTTCCGTTTTCTTTTAACAGACCAGTGTATTTCATGTAATCAAATTCCTTAATGTAAAAAAAGGATATAAACGTATAAAATATTTACCAAAATCAAGCCCACTTATTAGGGCTCGCTCATAAAACTCTTCGGCCTTGAGTTTTTCATTCTTCACTTCATGAATGAATCCTTGTATAGCACACACCTTGCTGTCTTTCGGGTTTTTCACCCTTTTCATACGACGTTCAATCACCTTCTTCAGGTTCTCCTCACACGACCGGCCTTGCTCTGAATTCGGCTGCAGCCTCAGACCTTGCATGAAATAATAGATGGCCAGTTTTTCAGATCTTTTGGTGTAGAGCTGGTATTGGCCATAAAACCAATTGACTGCCTGTAGGTGTTGCTTTTCATTAGCCTTTTTAAATGCTTCTTCAAACAGTCTCTCAGCTTTTAAGCTGCCACGTCTGTGCAGTTGTCCGTAATGCAGTGCTAAATCTGCCATGGCAATAACGAAAGAGGGCTTTAGGGAAACTGCCATGTCCAGATGATAGATGCACTTCTCCAGGTATTGCTGTTTTTCATACGACTCTTTAACATCAAGTTCCTTTTTACCAGGTGTCCTATATTTCTTTTCCAGAAATATTTTTTTGTTTTTGAAACACATAGCCAACTGATGGTGTATAAAGGCTGAGTTTGGGGTAGCCTGCAGGGCTTCTTTCAGTAGAGAAATTGCAGCGTCCGTGTCTCCTAATTGGCGGAAAAATTTGGCTGCATATCTTGTGACATGGGGGTTTTCAGGGGACATCACCAGAGCCATAATCACTTTCAGCTGTGCAGTTTTGAGCATCTTCATATCATCTCTGTTATGCAGCATTCTCAGTGCTAGCAACACTAATAGTACACCATCATCTGGATTAAGCTCTATAGCTCTTTCCAGCTGTTTTATTGTTGGCGAGTCTGAAGGGTCAGATGTCTCATTGGTCGTGCGGTACAGGGCAATAGCATAGCCTGTATTTAAATCACTGTCATCAGGGTTCTTTTCAAGGGCCTGTCTAAAGCATTCCTTTGCAGCATTGTAGTATTTGTGAGAGAATTTAAGAAAAGCCCAACCCTTTTCTCTAAGTACATCAACAATATGAGTGAATCCTTCAGAACATTTTCTATGGATCCTCTCTAACTCTCTCAAGTACTCTTGAGATGTAGAAAAATCATTCATATGATAATGCAACCAGGCAAGGTCTCCATAGGTAACAATAAGAACTTCATCACTGTCTTTGTAGTATTCCTTTGCGAGCTGCACAGATTTCTGCAGATTTGCAAGTGCTTCCTGATGGTTGCCATAAAGATACTGAACAAATCCAAAGCTGCTGTAAGATCGTGTTACTCTCGCCTCGTTAGATTCCAACTCCAACTGAATCTGTTCCTCCAGACGATTCAGTAAATCACAGAGAACAAAGTCTTCTTCTCTTAGAGACCAAGTAAAATGGCACTCCTGCTGAAGCAGTTTGGTTTTTAAAACACCTTCAAGACTGAAAAAAGAAGAAAAGCTGAGACAAATGACTTAAACAAACTCTATTTATATGAGTCATGTACTGTAGTTTTGTAGCAGTATGTCACAGTGTGCACACGGTGTGAAACACTAAAGCACTAAAGAAATTTTGGTTACTTTATTTTAAGGTGTCCGTGTTACTGTGTAATAATAATAATAGTTAACCTAACCTTAACCAATGTTACCTTATATTACCCAGTACTTTCTAAGGTATGAGCACTGTAACACGTAGGCTACTGTAAAATAAACTGAAACTTCCACTGCTGTAAACATGAAGAGCTGTTTTTTTCCAGTTTCTGGGAGGAGTTCTTTTCAGATACATTTACATGAATGCACACAGAAAGACACCACATTTAAACACAAACACACAATAATAGAGCATGGTTTAAATAATATTGTTTATATATATAAAATAGGTGTGTGTGTGTGTATATATATATATATATATATATATATATATATATATATATACATACATACAATATATATATATATATATATATATAAAATTCAAAATTCGAAAGTAAAACAGCCTGTGACGAAATATAGACATGTAGCAGACAACAGCCAATAACCACTTACAGGATATACAAAAATCTAAAAGCATTCATAATTACACCATGAGCTCGTCTAAAAAAACATAGGTTTAACAATTAATTTTCAAAGACGCAGGTTTGTGTCTGCTGTTTCCAGGCATACCATTCCTAAAACATTTATCTCAACATTAATCCAACAAACAAACCCACCTCATTTTGTGGCCATCTTCAGTAAGCATCAAATTATGAAAATACAAATGGAGCAGGACGTTCTGGTGAAGTGTTGTCAAATAAGTTCGAAGCTTGTTCCGCTTAGGGCCGGTGAAGCAGTCGATTCTGTTCCCTTCCGGAATTCCTGTTCCCTTTACGCAATTATACTACAAATCGTGCGTAGTTGCCGCTTTACCATCAGGTTAACATACGTACCATCAGAATTGAATACGACAAGAAGCACAACTGGATGTAGGGGAAGCCAAAAGGTTAAAAAAGTATTATTTTTTTAACAAAAAAAAGTTATTATTATAGGCTAAGCGAGTTTTTCCTGTACTGTCATTTCAATCTAGCTTATTTTTATCTACGCTTTCCGTACTTCCAGTTGTGCTTTGATGCATCTGCTACGCATGATGAACAGAATCGACTGCTACACCGGTGAGATTAACCTTTACACAGACAGACATACAGATGTAGGAAATTTGCCTCCACCGGTAGGGAGGAGTTGAGAACAGTGGGGCTTGGCAACCGGGAAGGCCCTGTCCCAAATGGCGCACTTCATGTGGACTTTCGGACTCCTGGACTTAAATTGCGCGTGCTTGCTGAGTCTACGAGTCCGTAGGCCGTCCCATTAATCACTTTATCGCTCTGAAAGTGTGCTGCTGTGCTCAGCAGCGCCCCCTTTGTACCCTTGAAGCGGTCTTCCGCGAAGCCCACATGGATGCAGGCTCCACACACTTTAACTACCCAGGAAACCTTGCGAAAGTACTATAAGTCTGCACTACATGACGTCACCAAAGTGTGGACTCTGAGGAAGTCCACAAGTCCAAAGTGTGCCATTTGGGACAGAGTTTAGACAGAGAATGTCTAATATGGGGAGAACTCCCACTCACATTAAACTTCCGGGGTCTGAACTGGTTGCAGTTCCACTCTGCAATCCTTATGTCCATATGAGGGCGCTCACAGGCGGAGTGCAGAATGAATGGAGGTCTATGGAGCAATACCCCTAAAAATCCACTTTTCTCAGGATATAATTTTTTGTCTAGTAATTTGAATGTTGTATTCGAAAGAAGATGCAACAAAATTACACATTACTGGGTGTTAGATTTTTTTAGAGTCAATTATTTGCTTTAAAAAGTCTTTTAAAATGTCAATGACGTCATACACAACGTACGACCAGAAACCTGCTTTACGGCAATCCTTCATTCACTGGTGCTTTCTCCATAGACAGTAAAAGAAAGACGAGAGAAGCCGCGAAATTTAAAAATACTACTGTTATTGTGTCACGAAATGTAGTTTTAATAGTTTTTCAGTCGACAATGTAGTTGTTTAAAGCTCAAATCTGTGGTTTATTTATAAAGATAGCGCCTATTTAAAAGTTTGATCTGACGTTTTCGGAGTTGTGAGGACCAGTCTTTCACCGGGTCTCAGCGCTCTGCACCCCGCCTGGAACAGCCTTTCCTCTGCCAGTGCTTCTGGCGTCTCTAGTAGTGGTTAAACATGAGATATAATTCGTCTTGTGTATATCTAACGGGCGATCTTTGGTATCATTAATCGTATCATTTGTGGAGTGGCCAGGCTTTCAGGGGTACGCGAGCTGCCCGGAGCTGCCACTTATGGAATGCCAAAGCTGACTTAATTAAAAATAAATAAATACATAAATAAATATACGAATAAATGTAAAAAAGCAAAAATACATAAATAAATATACAAAGAAATGTAAAAAAGCACAAATAAATGAGTATTTATACTTTTATTTCCTTATTTATTAGGGCTGTAACGATACACCAAACCCACGATTCGATTCGTATCACGATTTTTGACCCACGATTCGATTCGTATCGCGATTCTATCACGGGGGCGGGGCTTGAGGGGGCGGGGCTTGTGGTGAAAAAAAGAGATTTTGAGAGAAGAAGAAAAAATACCGGTATTTTTATTAAATAACATTAGGAAAAACCTGTATAATCTAAACACCAAATAACAATAATACCTATGCAAATTATTAAACTATACTAGGCAGTGTAGGCTGCTGCTTTTGGGTTGTGTTCTTTACTCCAACTAAATTGATTTCGGGATGGTGCCGTAGGATATGCATCTGCATGTTGGACGTGTTGCCGGTCAATTGAGGATTAATTTAATGCACTTTCTGAGAATTTATATTTCAAGTTTTGGCTGCAAATTTCACGTCCATGAAATTGCCAAATTTTAAATAATTTATCCTCAACTAGTTTTGTGGTGTAGGTCTACGTATTTTATAATGTTAACTTCAAATAATACTAATAGTAATTTAAAGATGTGGTAGGAAGGATAACTCTGGGAGTTGGAAGGGGTGTGATCGCGATTCTGCCTTCTCACATCGCGATACAGGATCGTGGACCTGAGTATCGCGATTTCGATTTTATATCGCGTATCGTTACAGCCCTATTATTTATGTATAATTGTATTTTTTCACACATTTTTTTATTTTTTTATTTATACATTTATTAATTTATTTATTTCCACTTTTATTTATTTCCACATTCATTTATGTATATATGTTTTTATGTCTACATTTATTTATTTTCACATTTATTTATTTATACATTTATTTATTTCCACATTTATTTATTTCCACATTTATTTATTTCCACATTTCTTTGTCCGTATGCTAAAAAAGGGGGGCGTGTTTTACCTCAGGCATCAGCAATCGAGCTCAGAGTGGCAGTGCTGAAGCTTTGAGGCCACAGTTACACCTTGTGGTGTGTGACCAAACGAAACGCAAGAGGTGTGCGGACAATATCACATTTTAAGTCATGTATTTCGCCCTAACTGTATGTAGGGTAGGCTATAGGGTTAACACACTAGCACACATGAACAGAAACTGCACTTCAACGGGTCTGATAGCAGACACTTGGACATGGAAGCGCATGAAAGTATCCACTATTAATAACATTGTAAACGCGGTGATAGGGCTGATAAGAGCTTGCGTTTACTGTCGATGATGAGACTCGCACACCAGCGCAGAACGCGGAGAGAAACCAGCGCACATTTCACTGACTCCTACGCAAGCATATTGATCAATGAGTTTGAAACGCGACTCAATACACGGTTTACATTCGCGTTTCATAATTTCGTATGCATAACAGGTGACAATTCAAATGCTTAAAACACAACCCATATTTCATAGATGCTGCTCTTAGATACTGATTAATCACAAGTCATCAATTTGGAATTATTCTTAAATCAAACAAAAGGGGCTCATGTAAACGCAGCTAGTGAGCCACGCATCTCAACCCATGCAGTGGAGGACAGAAGCATCATCATGCCCATCAAACAGCACCTGTCGTGCCCATGGGCGTGGTGATATTTCCCCTTATAAATTGATGTTATATCTACCAAACCTTATTAAATAGGTATGTAAAGTATGGACTAGTGGTTCTTTTTAGGATGGGAACACTACAGAAAGATTCCGGCCAGAGAATCCTTTATCATCTTTATTTCCAAGATCAGGATGCCAATATACAAGTTCGTATAATTGAGTGTATGTGGTCTAAACAGAGAGAAAGAAAAAGAAATAATACAATGGTAATAATAACCGATTAATAAACAAATAAAGGAATACTATACTATGCTCATTGTCATCATTCACAACAGTACAGTACAGAAAATAATAATTAACATTAATCCAGTGTAACAGAATACGTCACTATATGCCTTTAATATCTGTACTGATGCACCTTTAAGTGGCTATGCAGAATGACACTATATCACTATAACACTCGATGCAGGTAGCACCAAATAAACAGTATAAATACACTGCACTCGAACGCAGAAGCATATTTCTAAATAACTAACACAAATAAGGTCTAAATCGACATATAGAGGGCTAATTATTTCACACAGGAAACATGTCGAATATTACAGCACGCTCTGGTATCATGACTACACTAATTAGTCACGCAGTTCAACAAATAAAACTAGTTCGCATGAACATACATAAATTTCACAACATTCCTTACAACGCAGTATAAACATACAACAATAGTAGGAACTTACTTGTTTTTCATAAAACGCACACAAAAGTAAAGAAAGGGGTCTCTGAGTCTCCTCTCATCATCACTGAGCGCGAACAACTGAGGCGCGCGCGTTGGATTTTCTGTCCAGGCGCAGTTCACGTGATGGAGCGTTCGAACGCACTTAGGAAACCTCAGCGCTGAACAAATAGGCTTTCAGACAAAGCCGCCCCCAACTGCCCGCATGGCAGTTGAAAGAGTAGGAGAAAGTCTATTTGGTCGTCTCTTCTTCGTCCTTGTCCTCCAGAGCTGGGAGCAGGATGATCCGGGCGACTGGACGAATGTAGGTACGGTCCTTCACTTGAACACTGATAGTCCGTACGCTCCGTTCTGCTCCTGGATGAGTCTGGGTAATCCGTCCTACGGACCATGACGCTCGAGGAAGTTGGGGATCCACGATTAAAACAACATCGCCTATGGAGAGTGGCTTACTGTCTTTCCTCCACTTACTGCGCTCTTGTAGCCCTGGTAGGTAGTCGCTGATGAAGGATGACCAGAAGCGATCGGCAATGACTTGACTGTGCCTCCAAACTCTTCTCCCGAGGTCACTGGGGTCGTAAACTGCTTGAGGAAGCGACGAGTCTGGATCAGAGACATCTGATGCCAAGTAGCCTAAGGGTTTCGCATTCATTATGCCCTCGACTTCCACTAGAATTGTCATCAGGACAGGTTCAGGAACAGTCTGATCTTTGAGGACAACGCGAAGTGCAGTCTTGATAGACTTCACTTCCCTCTCCCATGTGCCACCAAAGTGTGGCGCACTTGGAGGATTGAATCGGAAGGATATCTGCTGTTCAGCGAGTTGTTCTTTCCACTGAGGTGCCATGGCAGCAACGGCTTCACGCAACTCTCTCTCTCCACCGACAAAGTTGGTACCATTGTCCATGAGGAGTTCGAACGGTCTGCCACGTCGAGAGATGAATCTTCTCAGTGACAGCAGGAAAGCATCTGTA